TGGATTTTCTCTGGGTGCTCTGGTTTCCTCCCAAATTCCCCAAAACATACATGGCAGGTTAGAGGAACACTCTAAATTGTCCCTAGGTGTGATTGTGAGTGTGAATGGTTGTTCGTCTGTGTGCGCCCTGCGATTGGCTGGCAACCAGTTCAGGGTGTCCCCCGCATACTGCCCGAAGACAGCTGGGATCGGCTCCAACATGTTTGCGACCCTTGTGAGGATAAGCGGATTAGAAAATGGAGGGATGGGAGAATACCAACACAAAAGACTCATAACAGTATACCGTAGAACAATCAAATGTTCTGACAGGATACATACCCATACAAACCATATGTACAGCACATTCAGTATTAACTGATAGTGTAAAGAAAATGGCAAGGTCCTGAAGGTATTGATCCATGTGAGGAAAAATGACTTGCGGGAGCCATTCGTGGCCTGTCATAAGAGGATGTGGCCACAGGGAGCTACCACGAACCAGGTAGCACAGAGTGGACTATCCACAATTTGCGGAGGCCCCCAGTTCCCCAGATCCGGGGGAATCTGCAGGATGACATGCCGACTCAGAGTATGGAGGCTCCCATCAGGAGACAATGGAGTTAAACTTGAAATGTAGTGGTGGGTGGACTGATCTAAATATTGATAATATTGATACAAAGCCAGTCTAGATATCGGATCGATATTTGTGCGATGAAATTAATACCGTAGTTTCACTTTCTTGTATGCACTGTTGTGGTTTCTTCAAATTGGCCACAGCCAGTTCGCTGGACTCGTGGCTTCTCAAATCTCTGTCTGGAACAAATTCGCCAACATCGGTTTATACCACCTGCGCCAAAACTTAAACATGTTTTCACCCGGTCTAAAATCTAGTCTACTTTCTGTCACCAAATTGTGAGGTGAATCGGACGCTTGTAGTAGCAAACGCCTTCGGCCCACCGGAACGCCCAGTGAGGTGTAGCACGGTCTGCCAAATTCCCAAACGCAGTAAGCTACACTTGCCCTGGAAGGAAAATGATGTGCCAGTTTTCACACCGAGTGCACTTGCACTCGTCGATGAAAATAGGGCCCTAAATGTCATAAACAAACAAACCAAAGAAAAAAAGACCAGAATATTCAGACCCATAAGAGCAGTTTTACTTTCTTTTCATCAGTCATCTGAGGTTTAATGACACACTCGCACTGACACGTAGCTGTTTTTATTTATTTATTTTTTTGCCCATTAATTTTGGCGGGGCTGCGCCACTGGTTATTGTCTCCTCGGGGAAACAAGTTACAGGGCACAGGTACCATTTTATTGACAGGCTTTTGAAATGACTGACAATATTTACTTCGCACTTTAGAAATAAGTTATTTAACATTTCCACGAATGTGCTTGTGTACCCCTCGGGATAAGAGCAGACCTGGTTGGCAAACACCGGATAAAGATTGACCTAAAACGGGCCACACAGTGGACTACTTGTTGGCATTTCTGTCTCACAGTTCTGGGGTTTGTGGTTCTAATCTCTGTACCGGGCTTCCTGTGCAGCATGTTCTCTCCATGCTTATGTGGATTTTCTCCAGGTGGTCCGGCTTCCTCCCACATTCGGAGGACGTGCATGTAGGTCATTGGAAACTCTTAAGTTGTCCACATGTGTGAATTATCGTATTTATCTGAAACGTATGTCAGGACGAATTCGTTTAATTGATGAGAGAGAATAGTGCATTCTTCGAAAGGGCTATCTGAATTATTTCCTGTCTTACATCTTGATCAAATGTTGCAGAATTGTCAGAAAAATTTTAATCAGGGAAATAGGAAAGAAATTTGATGTTGAGCTCGTTTTGTAACCTCCACTTTGCTTGTTCAGCGAACCGGTCATATTCAGGTATATTCCTCTTGTCACTTTGCTATTTACTGTAGAGGCGAGGGTGTCTTGCTGAGGGGCGCCTGATGGTAGTCACACAGCAGAACAACTCTCCGAAAACGCCATCCCTTTGTATTATAGTATACACATGCATATTAGGAGGTTGTATGGACTGGGGATGCATCTAAGTCTTGCGTGTTGAGTTCTTTTCACAATTCTGTGGCACATTTCATCTGATCTTTCAATGCCGACAGGCATGACAGAGGAGCGCTACTGATTCCCGTGAGAGGAATTATGTGGCCTGACTTCATTAACCCTGTTAGCACAAAGCTGCTTTACCCTCACTCATGCCAGGCTTAACCTGCACACTGATAAATGCAAAGTGGAGAGAAGCAAAAGATAGGCGGATACAAAGGTGGCTGAAACTAAAGGAGCGCAGAGACAAAGGCATTTAGAACATGAGCCAAAGGTGTCAGACGAGAGTACGGAAGATGAGAAAGTGAGAAACGCGAGGGGAATGGCAGGGCATAGAGCGTGTGAACCTGAGGCAGGAGAGATGATAGCGCTCAGGGTAGCAGACGGCTTGAGAGAGATTTGGAAGAAAACAATCAATCAGCTTGGATTGTGGCTGATCAATTACTCTTCTAGCACATCAACATTCCAAGTGGTTTCCTGACATTCCATCAAGAGCATGTTAGAGTATTAACGCTGACCTCCATGAACACACTGGCGGCCACGCGGCTGCTCAAGTTTACACATGCATATGCATTTGAGCACACACACGCGGATACTTGTCCTCTGGTGCATTTATTTGGTTTTCTTCTCACCAGGAACTCTCAACACTATGTCTTCTCCTGCTGCTGGCAGAGCTTTTTGGCTGGCTTAACTACGCCCACAGCCCCCTGAGGGGACAGCGTGTGACGGATGGCTACGCGTGCGACTCCGATTCGATTCAGTCCATTTGATAAATTTATTGCTGGCATTTTCAAAATGAAATTAGTGGGACGTCTCAGAGAGACTGTTTTTTGGAGCACAGGTGCCATAAATATGCTTCATGTGGCAGAGTGGGGGGGCTAGTGTGCACTACAGTTGGGGAGGGATTTCATGGTGAGGGGCCACATCGCAAGGATGCTGCAAAACTAACGAAGAAGGTCATGTTATCACAACCTCTTGTATTAATCATCTTATTCGAGGGAGGAAATGGAAAGGTTCATGCAAATCTGTTGGTGTTAATTCAACACCACAGGTTGTTAATTTTAACACAGACAAATTGTCGATATGCGTCCACACTACACACTATTAAAGTAACATTTACGAGAGTGTTAAACGTTCAACAACCAATCGTGAGTTACAGCAACAAATTGCAGTACTGACAGTGCAGTAGTAATGACACTTCAGAGTCTTTAGATTAACACTAATCAGCTGGGCGATTCACCAGAATACACACAACTCATTGGTGGATTTGTGTACCACACACAAGAGAGCTCCTACAAGTTCACACATAAGCGCATTTCAAGCAGAGTGAAAAGAAAAGTCACAAAAATAAGTTTGAATAATCGTGCAGCTCGTCACTCTGGCTGCCTACGCCTACAAAACATGTTAGATACTGCGTTAATGAAACTGATTGACCATGAAGCCCACGTGAGGTCACAGAAAAAACAACTCTGAATGGCCAAGTTGCACCATAGGAACGAAACACATCCACACACACAAATTTTATAGGACTGTCAAGATGTGAACCTGATATGGAATTTTCATTGTTGGCTCATCAATGGTGTCCGTTTTAAACAATATGAAACAGAAAGTTAAGAGGCAAAACAGATTTGTTTTCATGTGAGAGTTTTGGTTACTTCAGGGAAGTTTGACTCTGTCTTGCGAGCGGAGCGTCAAGTGATGCTATCGAAAATTGTCTCAACTCTCACCAGTCCACTTCATCAAGCATGACAAAAAGGTGTGGCTTCAATATAAATAGACACCAATCAGGGTTGAAACCAGGTGACACTCCATTTTAACAACGTATCAGTGTTACAACCTCGACTGCACATACTTTTTTAGTGTGAATGCCATACTGACATTGTGGTTTTAACATTTTCTCTCAACTTTTAACATCGGCAGACTTTCAGTGAAGGAAAGAGTGGCAATGTGGACTTTTAACAGTTGTGACAAGCACACATCCATAAAGATTAATAGAGATGCATTGAGGAGTCAGTGGGCACACATTTTCTACTGTATCCATCATTCATGCTCAGGCAGACATAAAATTTATATGCACAGAGAGTCTTGTGAGCTCTATTTGTTGTTGTCCAAACTCTTTTCCCCAAGGTCCCTTGTCATTTCAGCCCAGACGGCCGCCGTCAAAGTCACGTCTGTCAGGTCAGTCATGTATGGACACAAACACGTTATTTTTCTCCTCAGCAATATCAAGGCGAGACTTAGAGAGTGTTTGTAAATATTTTGGACCTTACTACAGTCGAGTTGAAAATACTCAATGGACAACAGAGGCCAGGCCAGATATGGATGCACAGAAGCCAATTTAAGTGAGCACTCATTCATTGTCACAGTGTCATGATGTGCGGCCTTATTTATCTTCCTCTCATTCAGAAATATATGTGAGTACGGTGGTGGTGAGATGATGTACAATATGCTAGCCCTTCAAGTTTCATCTGGCTAGCCCACATTACTTACCTTTATAGGCCCGTGTGATAGTGTCGCATACTGCCTATCATCACATATATGTGATGCACAACAGTCTGTGAGTGTCTGTGTGTATGGGGGAGGAGGTGGGGACTGCGGGTGAGAGATTTGGGACAAATATATTCGTGTGTCAAAAGGGAAATACAATAATTTGACCGCAACTGCCTTGGAAAAAATCTGGGAAATTTAGAGACCAGTTTAATATTGTGATCGTGAAAGTATTTGCAGACATCCACATGGTCAATATCTTCCTGCATTTAGTCACATTGTGGTGGTAGAAAAAAAAAAGTGAGTCCTAATAAAAATGTCTTCTATTTTTTTTTCTCTTCATAAAAAGCAGATGGAATTTGCATTCTCCTTTCCTCTCCGGTTTTAGTGGCTTGGCTCTCTCGCAAAGATGGAGATGCATACATTCATACAGCATGCAAGGCACAACAGAACAGCTAACTACTGTAAGGGCCATCTTACCTGTCTGTGATGACACACTGGCGCCTGCAGAAAGAGGAGAGCACACACATGAATCAGTCATGCGGTAGTGTACGCACAAAATCCAGTCTTTTCATATTACTGTATTGTTGAGCCTGAATACACATCCCAAAAAAATAATACCACACAGAAGGCACGAGCTCTCTACAGGAAAACACTAAACACCTTTTCTATATTCAAGAGGAAGCAACCAGGTGGAGGATGTGAACAAACACGTGGAAGAGAGGCGAGAGTGGCCAGACCCCTGGAAATCCTCGATCTCTTAAACAATTCACCCCGAGCACCCTTGGACACTGGTGAAGAGCACTGAGACAGAGCAAATCAAATCCTTTCGCAAAGCTTTTTCGACTCTTTTTCAAGGCCTACAATTCATTTGCTGCCCACAGGATATTCTCCTGGGCAGACAATAATGCACCACTGCTCTGTTTTTACAGAGCTTTTTTTGTTGTTTGTTAAGATAAAAAATGAGCAGTGCATTTGACGTGCTATTCTTTTACAAAGCGGAGATTTCCATGTTTTGACTTCTCACATTTGTGCCTGTGGACAAAAACTTTGTCAAAGATCCCGTAATAAGCAAAGAGAAACAGAAAGAGGAATATTGTTTACACTTGGGCAATTGACGATTGAAACAACATTGAAACTTTTCCCTTCATGGTTTGAGCACAAAGGGCTAGAGGCATGAAAGCAGACAAGTTACAGTACATCGGGATGTATTTGCGGTATACAAGCAGGGCATAATCGAGTTATAACTTTTGCTCCTGTAACGATGGCGTCCATTGCGCCTCTGTGCTTTTCAATGCAGTCTCTTGTGGAACTGGACTGAGCCCTTTTGACATGGTGAGTTAATGAGGTGCTATTATTTTGATTATTATTATTAATATTATGATTATTATTAGCTGTAGTCGTAGTAGAATGAAAACCTGATGTGCTAGAGCAGTGGTGTCAAACATACGGCCCACGGGCCGGCCCCAGCTCCCAAGGAGGTTCGATCAGGTCCGCAGGATCATTTAAAAGTGAAAAAAATGCATAAAAGACACGGAATGAATATTTTAATAAGGTGCGATTCACGTAGCATCCGCTAGGGGACACACTGTATTGATCAGAGTAGAAAACAAAAGCAGTCTCAGTCTGTCACTTTGACAGACCAAACACAGCAGACGCTATCAAGGACGTGTGAATACTTTGTCCTTTACACATTTAATAGCACTCTCCTTATTTTGTAAAGTGTAGGCAGGGATTACATTTAGATTTTATATTCACATGTGTAAATGGTTTTAAAATTCGCTTCTTTATAAATCTGGTTTAATCTTAAAATGCATGACTATATTTTTCAATACCAATTACTTGTTAAAGTTTTGTGCCTTGTACGATCGATCAGTGGGATCAGTTGCAATGCATAGATGTGAATGATAAAAGTCAATTGCACATTTGTCTAAGGAAATCTAAGGTGCTTCATGAAATGTTTTGTAAAAGATATGTTCATTAAATTTCAACATTTTCCTCATGTTCCTGTGCTTCTTTAGACCAACACAAAGGAAAGACATGCTATTTTGGTTACTGGGAGCAGAGTATGGTATAATTTTAATGGTCCGGCCCACTTGACATCTACCGAGGCCGTTTGTGGCCCACAATGTGAAATGAGTTTGACACCCCTATGCTAGAGCAAAAATGCAGGCAGATTTGGAGTCAGAGCAAAAAAAAAATAAAAAATGCACCGAGAAAAGTTGAGTTACATCTCCGTTTAAAAAAATTTACGTGAAAAATGTTGACAACTATTGTTTGTCACAGAAAAGCAAAGCGATCCTTATCACCCAAAGAAAATCCTTGTTATTTTCCCTTGACCCCAATATACTTTTACGATTTCACCACCCTTAAAATACTGAATATGGTGGCGGAGTGCTGAGCACACCTGTCCAGTTCAGGTTACACCCTACCTCCCTTAGCGGGGAATGACTTCAGCTAATGAGCGTACTTGATAACTCACCCATTTTTAATATGGTTCGATTTATATTCAATAATTTATATTTATTTATATACTCTTTGTTGTTCTACGTCTCCCTTTCATAATGTTGCTGCTGTAAATTGGGAATGTCTCCATTGTGATCCAAATAACGGTTTTCTTATCTGATAAAGAACATTGTGAGGGATGGATGCCACTCAACATGTGAGGCCCAGTACGATGGATCCAGTGGTGCACCATCAGGAGCACAAAACTGTGACCAAACATTTCAGACAAGGCCAAATCTTGTGCAGTTGGCCACTTTTGTGAAGAAGAAAAAAAAAATGTGAAGAACTGTCGAACTCATTGCCATGCCCTGAAAGCACTTCCTTCTCCTCGCAGTTCCAGTTTGTCGCGTCATAGTGAAGGCGCCACACTTCACAGCTATAGCAGCAACATAAAGTGAATGGATTTAGAGCCTAATTTGAAGTGAATGTGTGAGTGACGTCCTGATTTGCCTGCGTGCCCACGGCGGGACCCTCGTGACTTGGAGTATTATGTAAAGTAGGCCATATGCCAGCGCAGGTTTCCACATCCCAAAGGATGCATGCAAGCCAAACAACGTTTCAGCAAGCCTCAAGATGGGAAAGTTTTTACCTAATTGGGAAACTAAGAGGAATAAAAATACCCTGGCGGTTTTGCGTCTTTGTAGAACAGGAATCAGACCCATATGATGTCTAATTAAGTCAAAGAGCATACTAATACTGTACATAGCCCTGGTCTTATTTTCTTCAATCAGACAGCTCATCAGTAGTTCGAGCATATTCATTTAGAAATGTACAATATTATGAATGCCCCATTAAAATAGCTTCAATCAACCCAATGACAGTTGACACAAAGAAAGCCACCAAATATGGGAGTATCACACTGAAACATGAAAAAGTGTCAAGTAGCAATTGCACTAATTACATACGTGGTATTCCAATGCATCACAATGTGTGTTTTCACTGGTTGGATAATCAAATGCTCAAAGCACCGCCAGCCCAAATTAGCGCTGACTGACAACCGCGGGGAAACTGTTGCAGTGAATTAGGAAGGCACTTGCACAACGCCAGCAGCTCTCACTTTTATTTTGGAAAGACACTGTAACAAGCATTAAGTCTATTCGTGAGAGACCAGTTGAACCAAAGATGGTTTACACCGGTAAATCAGGAGTCGGGAAACTATGGCTCGCGAGCCACGAGCCATATATATATATATATATATATATATATCCAAATATTTCATGGCTCTATTAGTCAAAAAGGTTCCCGACCCAAGGTTTCTCCACTGTTTTCCCCACTGTAAATTTGATTGCCGTGGACAGTTTTTGACAAGTCAAAACATATTTGTGAGGATCGGAAGACTGGATGAGTCCATTCTGGAGCCGGAGCCCAACATGGCTGAGATCCCAGCCACATCACACCACCACCTACGAGATCGGAGTCAGCAACGTGAAGAACCACAAAACTGATAGCCTGAGATGGATTTGTGACACTGTAGCTGTCATGTCATAAATCTGGCTCCCTCACATTTGTACACTGATCTACATTGAGCAATATATATAACCCAGTAGAACACGTAGTGTTGTTCAGAACACTTTGTACTAAACTAGAAGATGACTATAATCATCACACACACACCCACATTTACATGGTTGCCGTCTGTCAAAACATGCACATCAAATCACAGCAAATAAGCTCACTCTTCTTTTGCCACTAATGATGTTTTCTTTCCACTTTTATCTAAATGAAAAATAGGAACCTGCACAAGAGCAGATTTAATCTTATCGCGTGAGGAGTCATGATCACTAGCAGTGCTGAGAAGTAGCACATTTATTAGAAGTGGCCAATGTTTGCCTCATCCTTCTTCTCTTCTCCATCCCTCTGAATCTGTTTTATAGGCTCGTCTGTAAAGATTGGTTGTACATATGTAAATGCAATATCACCCCTGAAATTGATTTGCAATCATACATAAATACTCACTTATCTGCTACAAATTCTCGGCATAAAAAGAGTGGAAATAATGACACGTTTGATTGAATTCTTAAATGTAGAGAAACAAGGGTCTGCTCACCCCATTTGGTTGTGAACCTCTGAAAAAAAAGGCAGATACAGTATGGAATAGAAAAGGTTTCTGAAGCCTTGACTAGTCATCCTTTGCACATAAGTGTTGCTAAAGTCATATTGTGAATTTAAAACAATTCGGAGAAAACAAAACCTCTTGAGAACAAAGAGTGCACAACCATCAGTGTGACTAAAGCAACACATTTTCACCGGTGATGCAAATTGCCAAACACAGACAGACAAAGGCAGCTTGTCGCTGCATTTAATCAAGACCAATTTACACATTTTGAGAGTGACTTCTGGTTACCAGTGTCCAAAAAGGAAAGTCTGTCAAAGTGTTAGACAAAACCGCATTTTAAAATGGACTTTATCGAAGACTAAATTCCAATACTGGTCTCTCTTTGCTTCTTTTTCAAATAACAGTGCTGTTTCCCTGGAGGCAAACAAGGTCTATATTTGTACAAACTGTGGAGAGCAACACACTCACGTTACCTTTTGCACGGGGAATGCCGTCGTCTTGCTCATTACATACTAATGAGTTGTCTATTAATGAAAATGGAAAGCATTTATTTTGTGAGCACAAAGGTTTCAGCTGGATTAATTACTGCACTACAGCAGCAAAATGAAAACAGCAAGTGCGGCATCAGTCTTGTGTGGCACATTAGCCATTAGCCAACTGTTATCGACGGCTGGCAAATGGGCCCGCGTGACTCAACGAGGAGCAGAAACTCTTTCTACGAGTATGCAAACTTCGCTAGAAGTGCACTTTGGTCACACTATGAATTACGGGATGCATTTGCACACTTTTATTCAAAAGAAACCACATTTGCTTCAGTGTGGTGTCAAGACTGCTCGAACCGCAGTGACGGCATCATCATCGTTGTTTGAAATCATGGCAGCATTGTGTGGTTTGCTAAGCCTTTAAACTCGTGCATCGATATTCAGCGCGAAACACCGGTCCC